TGGGGTGAGGAGCTGTCTGGGTGCCTGGGCTTGGGATCTGCTGGAGGGGCTGGGATGGAGGGTACCAGATCTGCAGGGGGGCTGTGCCAGGGGTCTCTGCCCTGAAGGGGGGATCAGGCAAGGGGCATGTGCCTTTGTCCCCTGCAATGCGCAGGGACCTCCATGAGCTCAGGGTGCCCCTGGCACCGGTGGGAGCACTCCTGCCCCTCCTTGGCATCCTCTCGTCTCTGACCTGGGTGCCGCCTGCGTGTGCTGGAGACACAAACCTTCCCGGACCCTCCCCAGGACCCCACAGAATCCAAGAATCATAGAATAGTTCCAGCTGGAAGAGACCCTGACGATCATCGACTCCAGCCTTTGTCCCAGCCCTATCAACCAGCTAAACAATGTCCCCCAACGCAACATCCACCCGTCTCTTAAACACCTCCAGGGACGGTGATCCCCCAGGAAAGCTCTGTTGGGCAAAAGAAGGCTCAGCCAGGCAGTGGTGGGGACAGCAAGGAGTTTAAGTGGGTGCGTGCCCTGTTCCACGTGCAGGTTTGTCGCTGCTGCCCACGGAGAGAGAACTCCCACGGGTGCCCAGGCCGTGCCCACCCAGAGCTCGCCCCTCTCCTGTAGCACGTGGGGCTACAGGTCCTGAGAGAGTCTCTTCTTACGCTGCGGGCCCGTGACGACGGTGGTGGTGATGGTGATCTTGTTCACAGTGAGCCCTCCCGTGCCGTAAGTGTCAAGGTGTGCCTCTCGCTTGTACTCGGAGACTTGCTTGGTGGAGAAGAGCTCCCACACCGACACCCTCCGCTCCTGGAACTGGCCGAAAGTGATGTAGGAGCCCTCGGACTGGAGGAGATCCACGGTCTCCTGGGGAAGGGTTGCTAGAAACCTTTCCTTGCTGTCCCTCACGATGCTGCTGGTGGTGCTGGCCAGTTCCTGAATGCTGAGTGTCCCTGCGTGGTAGAGCTGCAGGAGCTCCTGCCTTTTCTCCTCAGGGATGTACTCGGAGAAGAGCAGGTCCCACACAGAGACCTGTCTCCCCTGGAACTCTTCCACTGGCATCTCAACCGTGGTGGACTTCAGGGTCTCCTCCCAGGTCCTCTCCTCCGGCAGGTGGGTGTGCTCAGCATCAGCCACAGCTGACTCCGGAGTATCTGCATTTGCTGATTTCTCTGCCTTTGCTGCTTCTGCCTTGGTGACGATGGTGCTGACGACAGTTTTCACCTGCTCAAGGGTCAGCTCTCCTGCCTGGTACAGCTCCAGGAGCTCCTTTCTGTTCTCCTCAGGGATGTATTTGGAGTGGAGCAGGTCCCACACAGAGACCTTTTGGCCCCGAAACTCCCCAACTTCTACATCGATGACTGTGGTTTTCAGGGCTGTTTTCCATGGTTCCTCTTTGGGGGACTTGTCATCCTTTTCCCCAGCTGCTGATTTGGGATTCTTGTTGGAATTCTTGACTGAAATTAGGAATTTTCTGCCTGAGGATTCTTTTTTCTTAACGACAGTGATAACAACTGTTATCATCTGCTCCAGAGTTAATACCCCTTCACGGTAGAGCTCCAGGAGCTGGTGCCTTTTCTCCTCAGGGATGTAGTCAGAGAAGAGCAGGTCCCACACGGAGATCTGCCTCCCCTGCAGCTCACCAGCTGGCACATCAACGGTGGTGGACTTCAAGATGTTATCCAGTTGTGCATCTTGTATTGAAAAATCATCCCCATTTTCCTTTGCCCTTGTCACCACCTTGTGTGGGCTTCTGGCATTTGCCGTGAGTGCGGCATGTGCAGCCTCTGTCCTGTTGATGAGGGTGGTGACCACGGCAGCCACCTGTCCTGTGGTGAGTATGCCCGCTCTGTACAGCTCCAGCAGCTCCTGCCGCCTCCCCTGAGGGACGTACTTGGAAAAGAGCAGATCCAACAAGGAAATGTTTTGCCCCCGGAACTCACCAGCAGTGACGTGGATGGTTGAAGACTTTAGGGACTTTTTCAACTGTTGCTCCTGGGAGTTCGTATCCTGAACAGGCTGCGATGCTCCCACCTCGTTGTTGGGTAGAACTGCGGAGGAGCTCAGATCCCCGTTTTGCATTTCTGCCCCGGTGACAATGGCGGTGAGGATGGCGATCATCTCCTGGATGGTCACAATCCCCGCCTTGTATCGCCTCAGCAGGTCCTCTCGCTGGTGGTCGGGGACGTAGCGCGAGAAGAGGAGCTCCCAGAGGGTGACGCTCTGGCCCTGGAAGAGCCCCACGCCCAGGGGGGTGCGGGCG